TTTTTATCGATCTAAAGGAAAACTAGACTCAGCGTTTTATCGCATCTCTCACAAAATAATTCTACATACACGTTTTTTTTATTGTAATGAAATAAGTATACCTAAAAGGGCGCCGAAGGCATGACTTGCCCGGGGCGCCCAGATGGCTAAGACCGATCCTGTATTATATTATTATAAAGCACTATTTTGACATGACTCACGACAGATCCCAATAACCTATCCATCTATAACTTTCCTCACTACCGATAGGAATTAGACATAATTTGTATGTAATCTACATAATATGTACATAATATTTATGTATGTATGTCAAAACTCTCTACTAAGGAAAACAATAAAATATTACTTGAAGTCATTGGAGTTTACCGTGCCAAGCCAAGCCAGGTGCCAAATAACACCTTTCTACGAACACAGCTAGCTTAGTTCAAGTATTACTTTCCTACAATGATTCAGTTCAAAACTTCATAGATTGTTTCTCTTGTAAATTGATCATTTATATATATTCACTTCATTTTAATCCCGTTAAAGAAATTCAAAGCCAATAAAGAAAATTAAAAAAAAGACATAAAAATGAAACAGAATATAAAATTAATCTTAGAAAACTTTAGAATATATGAGTGTAATGTACTATGTAGTACAGTCGATACTTTCTGAAACACGAACTTAGAAGTCATACCTACGTATAAAATAGAGACAAAGTATACATACATAAACATAGGTACATATGTACATATTGCATACATATACTATACGACAATATAAATGTAATATCTACTTATTCAAAATTGAAATAATTAACTATTCAATACTAAAACAAAGACAAATCTATCCCACGGGAACCGTACATTTTTCTGGGATAAAAAGTAACCTCTGTGCTATTCCATGTGTATTCAGCCCTTTTTTTAACGTCCCACTGTTGGGTACGGGCTTCCCTTCAATATGAGGGGGATCAGGCCATAGTCCACCACACTGGCCAAGTGCGGGTTGGCGGACTTCACAAGTATTTCGAAAACTTGCTAGCTTCTCTCAGACATACAGGTTTTCTCACGATGTTTTCCTTCGCCGTAAGGCAAGTGGTAATCATGTTATAAGTGATTCGTACATGAAAATATCAGAGATGCGAGATCCGGGATTTGAACCCGCTTCACTCGATTTCCCAAGCGAGCGCGTTACCACTGGGCTACCACTGCCTATTACTTTATTCCATACTATAATCTATATCTATTCCTTTCATCTAGATCCGTTCAGCCGGTTTGGCTTTATTGAGTAACAAACATCCATCCAAACACCTACTTTCATATTTATAATATTACTAGCAGAACCCGCGGCTTCGCTCGCGCTAAAACTACAAAAAATTCTGTATAAAAAACAGGTTTCATACAAACTTTCATCCCCTATTTAACCCCCTAATAGGATTAATTTCGAAAAATGCTAAAACAAGTAGGTATTTGTTTAATTGTATTGAAGGGCATTAATTTCAAGTATCAACTAATTCGGATCATAAACGTTTTTTTGGGTTGTATTATAACGTATTTTCCCGTGGGAATGATGGAGATAATCTCCCGCAATAAAAAGTAGCCTATGTCACTCTCCAGCTCTCCAACTATCTTCACACATAAAATCACGTCAATCCGACACTCTGTTTCTACATGAAAGAAAGACAAACAAACACACTTTCACATTTATAATATTAGTATGGAAGTAAGATTGACATATAGTCTTCAAAAGAGTACATTTTAAGTTAACTACACCATCTATAATCTAATATGGTTATTTACAATCGCAGTACATTATGAAACGTTTCGGTAAGCACAATCAAAAGTCGCGATATGAAGTTCCTATTCGTTATCTTAATTACAAAATATATAATCCATGTTGTAATGTCATACTATCGATAATTGGATTTATATATGTATATTTTGATGTTAAATTATTGTTACCATATTGTTATGGCCCTTGCTCTCAGTTCTATTATTACTTTAGCAGTGAAAACTTCTAATATAATCTATGTATAATGTAAGTATAACTAATATATAAATATCTCATGTCACGGTGTTTGTGGTCGCACTCCTTCGAAACGGCTCCACCGATTTGAATGATTTTTTTTTTGTAAATTTGATAGATATGAAAATAGGTACCTAGTATTTCTCACTCTCCTACCCCCACCAACCATTTTAATCACGATTTTGGTATTTTTATATGAACAATATCCAAATAATTTTATATTAAGCGAGAGTGCGAGTTGCTCCTCCCTGTTGAAAAACTCCAATAGGATCTTTCAAAAATTCAAAATATTTTATTCTGCATTAAATTATTACAATTCTTTACTGAACGTCTACTACCAGTTCGGAAAGAAGAAGCCTCAGACCTGAGAAGAACTGGCGAAATATCTCATCAAAAGCGACAAAAGCCACATAACAACCAATAAATATTTATTGGTTTCTATTTGGATATTATTGGTTTCTATGTGGCTTTTGTCGCTTTTGATGAGATTCTATTGGAGTTTTTAAATAGGACTGGTACTTCTCTGATATCAGAGTGGACCGTGAGAACAAGCCCTTGGCTATGATCTGCATCAGCATTCAGCAAGCCTACCGTGGGGGCCTCGTGATTGTATGTAAGTGATCTTGCGACGCCCTGCTAAGATGGACAAGCTTCCGTTGGGTTTTAATGGATAGTACTGGATTTTCTAGCCGTTCTCAACCTTTAAAAAACTTATGATCTAAGAGTGATTTGGAATACCCACTAGACTAGCTAACTCCTAATTAGTAGATAACAGTACTACGATGATGAGCAATTAAAAATGAATTCTTTACCGTACCACCGTTATCACTTCTATAATATTTAAATAGAATATCTAAACAGCCTTGATGTTAAATAAGTTAAAGGAACTAATAAAAATAACGTGAAATCTTTTCTACTAAAGCGTTATGTAATAACTAACAAATTACTCAATAAGAGACTAGGGACTGATCAGATTTGCTCCACACTGCACATACGACCAACGTCAATGTTCGCCGTGGTTAGATGCAGTCTGGTATTATCCATAAAATAATTTTATATAGCATTAGCGACTCACCCTCGTGCCGCTCGGGTTCGTCCCTAGTTACGTTTTCACGTTTAGTATAGATTTCTTAGAGATGAGATATTTTCCCGCAGTAAAAAGTATTCTATATGTTGAACTGGATAGCCAGCTATCATCACACCAAAATTTCATCCAAATCCCTCCAGTAGTTTTTATGATGCGGTCACAGATAGACAGACAGACTGACACAAAAAATCTAAAAACTATACTTTCGGTCTCTGTATCAATAATAATGACTATTTCAATAAGATTCTCAAAAAAATATGGAATTAATGTACAGATTCGACTCGGTTAGAATTTATGTATTATGTATTATGAATAGATGTATTATGTACATAAACTTCCATATTTTTCTTATACAGTAAAAAAAAAGAGTTTAGCTGTTCTCGAGTTAATGATTTTTTAATTACCCGGAATAAGTGGTGCCACCATAGCTAAACATCCACTAATAACGGATTTTTGAAAATCCAACCGTAGTAGAATATAACGAGAAATGATTTTAAAATTGTTTGGATTTATGTTAAGTTCTACATTCTCATCCGTATCATTTCTTAGTAGAAGGTAATCTATACATATAATAAAATTGTAACTATTTTTTGGAAAATCTCATTGAAATGAACATTATTATTTATTATCGATACAGAGGCCGAATCTATAGTTTTTAGAATTTTTGTCTGTCTGTTACCGCATCGCAAAAAAAACACTAGAGGGATTTTGATGAAATTTGGTATGGTGATAGCTGGTTACCCGGGTCAACAAGATATAGGATACTTTTTATCGCGGGAAAATGTCTCATTTCTGAGAAAAAACACAAAAACTGCAATGTAAGATTATACTAATATGTAAAACCTAAGAATTTGGTTTTTGGTCACCTGAACGCGGGCGGAGCGCGGGCAATGTTAGTAATAAAATAATAATAAGATAGGACGTAAATAGCTAATATCGCTTATCAACAGTTCCTAGTAGTTATATTACTATATGCACGTTTCATTATCTTATCGCAGTGTTGCAGCGATGCTAATAATGTGTTTCGATAAACTAATAATATCCGATGTTTTTAAATAAGTATGAAATTAATTGTTAACATTTCGAGAAACAATCGAAAAAATTACAGCCGAATTGAGAACCTCCTCCTTTTGAAGAAGTCGGTTGAAAAATTGGTATAGGTTTATAAAAAAATTGCATGAAATAAAAAACCAGCATATTTTTACAAAAATCTTTATACATAATTTTATTTAATTTTTCTGTACGTGTGTATGTCACTTAACTCCTCCTAAGCGGCTGGACCGATTTTGATGATTTTTTTGTGTGTTTCAGAGGTTCTCTGGATGGTTTAAATTCACAACTGAACCCAGTAGATGGCGCTGCAGTCAGGCTCTAGTATTTTTTATTGAAGTGAAAACTTCTATAAGCAGGTTTGGTCACCGACTTGGTCACGTGACTTATTAACGCTAAAACACTCAGAGTGCCGATAGATGTCAAAAGCAGATAAATGTAAACACTTTTAGTTTACAAATTTAAATTTAAGATCAAACAATTCGAATATCCAAAATAGCAATGTTTTAAGTTTTCACTTCTGTCGGCAGTCCTCATGACTGCTTTTTTTTATTAAAGCCAAGGATTCGGGCAGGAGAACATCTGCAGGGTCCGCTAGTATATTATATTTAAAAAAACGTGTATGTGTACATATGTACGCACGTAAGAAGTTATACTTCTTTGGCGTAACAGAGCAAAGATAGCTAAAGATTTCATCCCGTATGTCACAACTCTCTGTTTGTAAAAGGAATGCAGCTAACTTCATCATGTCACTTTTTGGCTGTCGGTATGCTCGCGCGTCGTAAATAATTTACTCTCATGTTTTTTCCAAACGTGCCAAAGGAAGTATAACTTCAAAAGTTATTTCACAAGTAAACTAGTCTACGTTGATGACATCTTGTTTGAAATCGTTGGACATTTGTATCTTATCGTATGGGATCATTAAGGGATCAGTTGGGGGCATTGTGACCGTCGCCGCTAGGACGGGGCTTCGCTTTCCCTCTTTCAAAAGCAATACTTTTATGAAGGACCCCTCATCTGCCTGACCGGTGACATTGCGAAAGAATATATCAGGGTTGAGATTTTCACCGAAAATCTCTTCAACTTGAGTTGGAAACTTGAGTTGGTTGTTTGGAGCTATTAGCGGAACCTGCAAATTGATAAAATATATATAACAATCGAAAATTAAAATAAAACTATAACATAATAATAGCAACAAAACAAGAAAAGATTTTTTTGTTTGTTCATTTGTTTGTACCGAATAAGCTCCGAAACTACTGGACCCATTTAGATGAAATTCGCTAAGAAAATAGTTGGAGACCCTGGGAAGGACATAGGACAGTTTTTAACCCGGAAATCGTCCCTTAAGGGTGTGAAAATGTGGGTGTAAATTTGTATGAAGTATCAACCTAGGCACGAACCAGAGCGAAGTGAAGGCGAGTCGCTAGTCATTGATATATTAACACACTATACTTTAGTTCGTTAAATCAAGACCAAACTACTTCTACGTAAAAGGTTATTTAGAATTTTTGGGTTCCATTTACTATGTATATATCATAATATACCACAGGATAAAATATCGTAAGCATTAGCTACTCTGTGGATGAAAGAGTTCTATTGGAATTGAATTATATCGGACGTTAATTCGATTTGAAATTCTAGTTCAAATATTTACAAAACAAATGTACAGTCATAACCAATAACTCAATATCGTCCCATAAACATTATAAACCATATAATTATTATAAATGTCAAAGTTTGGATGGATGTTTGTTACTGATCTGGTTAAAATTTGGGACAGAGATAGATTATAGTCTGGAATAACACATAGGCTACTTTTTATCCCGAAAAAATGTATGGTTCTCGTGGGATATCCATACTGACCGTTAAAACGTACCTAGGGACGAACCCGAGCGGAGCGAGAATGAGGCTAGTGTTCTATGAATCTCTTTTATATACTATAACTCCACCTTGATTGAAAAAAATCTACCTATCCTATCCTGTAATCGAACCCACAATTAGGTAAAATAAAAAGGCATCCTTACCTTAATATATGGGTTGCGTACTTTATAATTAGTTGAGTGTACGTGGAACAGTATGGAGAGGCCGATAACGGCTTTCTCATTCGACGTATTTTCTACTATCAGTGTTACTCGGAAAACCGGGCCTAATCCTTCCACCTGTTGGAAGTAATACATATATCTATATATATAAAACAAAGTCGTGTCAGTTACACTATTTGTAACTCAAGAACGGCTGGACCAATTTCTGATGATATGATCTTTTGAATTTCTTTTAGTCCGGAATAGGATAATAAGTATTAAAACATCGAAAAAATTAACGAAAAAAAATAACATTTACATGGTTAACGCTGGATGATAACTATTTATATCTATTTAAATCGTACCTAGGGGTGAACCTGAGCGAAGCGAGAGTGAGCCGCTAGTATAGTTATAAAATAATTACACTACGGGACTTAACGCGTGAATTCGTAAGTGGCTATATACCTTGTTCCCAACGTTTCGACTGGGTTGCACCAGCCGTGGTCACGGCCGTTCCATAAATAATTTAAAATTATGGAACCTTACTCTTATTACATTCATAAACAACTCAAGACCTTCAAAATTAATTTCGTAAATATTCGATTGCTTGTCGGGTTTCTCGAAAGCTTAACAGATATCGTTTTAGGAGAATTTAAAGCGTTAGATTCTTTATTTAACTTAACTTTCCTGTACCTATATTGTTCCACAATAATGTGACTCGCACTTAACCAATATTTTTCGACAATGAATATATTAATTGCTATTATATAGCAAATACTATATGTATATATATAATAAAATTCTGAGTCGAATCTGTACAATAATTTTTTTTTGGGAAAATTTTATTGAAATAGTCATTATTATCGATCCAAAGGCCAAATATATAGTTTTTAGAATTTTTGTCTGTCTGTCCGTCTGTCTATGACCTCATCACGAGAAAACCACTTGACAGTTTTTAATGAAATTTGGTATGATGATAGATAACATATTATAGGATACTTACTGCGGCAAAATATCTCATCTCTGAGAAATCTATACCAAGCGTTAAAATTATATAAAAGTTTATAATATTGAAACAATTACCTCAGCCGATAACCGAATGGGCTCCAATTCGCCCGCCCCAACAAAGTTCTCAGATTTACTGTACGCTTCGAGAAGAGTTTTTGCTGATATTAAACGCAATCGGTTTAGCTCACTTTGGAAATACTCATGCATTGCTGAAATAAAACTTTGAATATAAACAAAGTATATAAAACTATTAACTATAAGTATATAAAACGATTTTTGGTTTTTGGTTCCTGACGTTTCGAATGCTTTACAGCAATCAATATGGTCACGAGAGAGACTAAGGTTTTATATGTCTCAAAGACCTACCCACAAAATTATAAAATGATTTCAAAAAAACAAAAATCTAAATAAATTCGCGAAAAAATCCTAATAGATAGTTTTGTTTACAATGTCAAATATTCCCGCGTAAATCTAATAAACTATTACATAAGCAAAGAATTTTTTTATCATAATAAAATAATAAAAAATTAAAATTAAGCAAAATAAAAAAAAACGTATTTTGCGATGGACATTTGTTTTGCTCGTGAAATTTTCGCAGGCACTTTGACTGGCTCTGTTCAGTGGATTCCTCACGGACTTAGGTATTATTTAATTTTTTCCTTCATTATAATGATGTTAGATATTTTTATTTATTAACTTACTTGTATACTATTTTAAAACGTTTGGTTTGGCTTCAGGTTTAGTTCTATGACACTCTGTCTATATTATTCCTTATTTTGAGATAGCTTAAAAAAATATATAAAATATTTATTTTCTGTTCTTACATATAGCATTTTCCCTTTCTCTCATAGATTGTTCTAGAAACAACTTTGACTTCTTGGGTATAAGCCAAGGCCTTTGGCCCACTGTCGTCGAGACAGCGGGTTCTATTCCCGCGGAGTGAGCGTTGAAATCCGCTGTGCGTTTGAGGATCTTTATTATGAGGTTGCCATCTGAAAAAAATGGTAAAAATGTATATCTATTCAGCCCTTTTTTTAACCTTCCACTGCTTGGAGGTGGGCCTCCCTTCAGTACAAGGAGGATCAGGCCATAGTCCACCACGGTGGCCAAGTGCGGGGCGAACTGCACGTGTCTTTCGAAAACTTGCTAGGTTCTCTCAGACATGCAGGTTTCTTCACGATGTTTGGCTTCGCCGTAAGACACGTGGTAATCAGGTTAGAAATGATTCGCACATGAAAACATCAGAAGTGCGAGACCCGGGATTTGAATCCGCTTCACTCGGTTTCCGAAGCGAACGCGTTACCACTGTACTACCACATTGACTATATAAATTTATATGCAACGGTAATCTGTATATAAATATTATAAATGTGAAAGTTCATGAGTATGTATGGATATTTGTTACTCTTTCACGCGAGAACGTCTGAACGAGTCTGGATGAAATTTGGCACAGAGATAGATTATAGTCTGGAATAACACATAGGCAGACATAAAGTATAGAACATAACCTTCCTTGTCTATTCGTAAAAACCGCATGGAAAGCCATACAGTAGTTTTTGAGATTAGCCGGAACAAACGCAAAGGCTACTTTTTATCCCAATATGTCAAGGGGTTCCCCAAAAAAAAAGGGTGATAATTTATTTTAAGTATTAGGTATAAGAGGTAATAAAATATTTAAATAATCTGAAACATACTAACTAGAAGTAATTATAGTAAAGACATGTTCTTCATGGCCCAGCTGTCCAAACTTCATCACTGATACAACATCTAGAAAAAAATAAAACATTTTTTTAATAAAAAATAATAATAATATAATGGGGAAAAAACTATCATAATAGAAGTGATTAGTATTTAAAGTAATTCGCATACATTTCTTTACAATATTTTTTTCTATGCATAAAATACTTCGTTAAAGTGCGTGTGCGTATGCGTATTCTTATCGTAAAGTATAGCTTATGTGTTTGTGCGCATGCGTGTGCGTATACATGTATTAGTTGCATTGATGTGTGTGTCTGTGTGTATATACCTCTTATAAACATAGTATCCCGCTTCGCTTTCCCATCATACAGATACACATGTCCCGAGCTGAGCGCGACGGCTACTAACGTGAGGGCCAAGTGCATGATAGGCACCAACGTCATCGCCACTGGACGGTGTTCTAACGATATACACCATTGTTTTTTACCCTGAAATTTTATTTATAGCTAGTAATATTAGATTAGTACTCATGTGTGTTGATTTTTATTAAGTATTTTAAAATTTAAATATCGCGAGGGACCCTTTTGACGATAAAGTAATAACACTCTATAGTACCGTCTTATGTACAATAATCTTCGTCAATCTGAAGAAGGCATATCAGTCAACCTATTAACTATCTACACATAATATAATAAATTTGTAACTGAGTCGAATCTGTACATTAAATATTTTTTGCAAAATCTTATTGATATAGTCATTATTATTGATACAAAGGCCGAATCTATACTTTTTAGAATTTTTGAGTGTCTGTCTGTCTGTTTGTTACCGCATCCCGCGAAAACCACTGGACAGATTTTGATGAAATTTGGTATGATGATAGCTGGTTATCCGGGTCAACATATAGGATACTTTTTACTTGCGGGAAAATATCTCATCTCTGAGAAATCTATACTAATCCTATAATCTATACTAAACCTTAAAACGTAAATCGCTAGTATACTATAAATTCATCCAGTTCTTGAATATTATGAAGCCGAATAAACGCTAAAGTAAAAAGTACCTTGTTTAAGATAGTACATATGTTCATTATTTACGTATCTGTGGTTCTTCTGTCACCGCGTAAAAGAAGGACCAACTAAAAAACATGCTCTAAGCTTTTAAATTAATAATTGGACCCAGTTATGCAAAAAAACAGCCACGTGCGTAAAAGTACCAACAGAGTTATAAGCATTTTTCTGTCGATAGTTGCACTTGGGTTATGTTTTGTTTTTCTGGTTACTTTAAAATTGAACAATATTTATATAAGTATTGTTTATTTTTTATAATGATTTTATTTATTATAATAAAATGCTTATAACTCTGTTGGTACTTTTACGCACATGGCTGTTTTTTGCATAACTGGGTCCAATTATATTAGCAATTAGCACATGACATCTAAGTACAGATGTCCCATCCCATCAACAGAAATTGATCGCCCTAATTAGGCTATTTAGTTTGGCATAAATACACGGTAGATAGCGCATGTCCAAAATCATCGTGAACTAAACGAATAAAACCTATAACATTAGTATATTTAAAATTATTATTACTTAAAATTACTTATTATAAATATGATGTTCTCCTGACCGATTCCGGCCACGGCGGCCAATCTCATTGAAACTAGCCAACTGCGTAGGAGATATTATAGTGCACAAGTGTACGCGCAGACACAGGTGCACTCTCTATTCCTGTCACTCTCATACTCCGATGGGACGACTACTCGACACGACCGGTGAGAGTGTCGGCGCAGGACCGACGGCTTTACGTGCTCTCCGAGGCACGGGGGTGAAACACCGCCAACTTCCCAACTCCGGGCTGTTACTGAGGCTTACTATACAGAAAGACTCAATAACTAAACTTGGCCCGACCGGGGACTCGAACCCAGGACCTCCGAGTGTGCAGCCGTACATGCTAGCCGCTACACCACCGAGGCAGTAGATTATAAATATATTCGAACATTAACACCATCTAGTTCCATGGTACGAGGCTTGTGTGTGAGTTGATATACCATATATATATATATATATATATATATATATATATATATATATATATATTTATATAGGCAGTGGTAGCCCAGTGGTAACGCGCTCGCTTGGGAAACCGAATGAAGTGAGTTCTAATCCCGGGTCTCGCACCTCTGATATTTCCAACATGATTACCACTTGTCTTAACGGTGAAGGAAAACATCGTGAGGAAACCTGCATGTCTGAGAGAATCTAGCAAGTTTTCAAAAGACATGTGAAGTCTGCCAACACGCACTTGGCTAGCGTGGTGGACTATGGCCTGATTCCCCTCGTGCTGAAGGGAGGCCCGTGCCCAGCAGCGGGACGTTAAAAAGGGCTGAATACATACATAGTATATGAACTTATACCCTCAATGGGACTCGAACCCGCAACCGCTGGCACAGCAAGTAGGGTCACTACAAACTGAGCCAAACGTGTATTATTATTATTACTTAAATTTTCACCTTTCGACTATAACAAGCGAGTGTATTATCAGTGCATATGACCATCACAGTGTTGTCCGTAGTCAATACATCTATAGCAATTATATGTTCCTCGGTATTGAATAAAATCCGACCTTCCTTCCAATCCCTCTTTATAAGACATACGGATTTCTCCCTGGAATATGAAATATGAATATTATTAACGTAGGTACTTATCTACACTAATATTATAAAGAGGAAAGATTTGTATTTTAGCATTTTTGTATGTTTGTAACAAATGAACTCAAAAATGTATGTGTGCTTGTTCTTCACAGCTTAATGGATTTGAGTACAATTTAATGTTAACAAATAGGCTATTTTTAATACCTTATTAAATCTAAACGGATAAATAAAAGTGAAGCGTCTGTTTGTAATGTCAAAATAACAGCGTTTTACTAAATGCATATGAAATTATATATGGTACTTATAAGAAAATTTCAATTTTGTAAATTTTTGTCTGTCTGTCTGTTTGTTCCGGATAATCTTTGAAACGGCTAAACTGATTTTGACGGGACTTTCACTGGAAGATAGCTGATGTTATAGGGAGTAGCATAGGCGAATCTTATTTTAGAAAAAGAATTAGGGTTCCGCTCAAAAAATTAAAACGTCCCTAGTTACGAACCCGAGCGAGGCGAGGGTGAATCGCTAGTTATTATTATAAATATTAATACCTTGAATAAATATTAATATTATTATGTAATTGTACTGTCATTCATGTTAGAAAACATAAAAAAAAAAACAAAAAGTAAAATCATCCTTCCTGGGTCATTTCCAAAAAAAAAAGAAATAAATAAAGTGCAAAATGTACTAACAATAGTGCATTTCTCCAAAACCAGGATTCACCTTGTAGCTATTGTCATTCTATAATTCACATTATACAGGCCTGTAGTTACTATCTGGTATGGTATTTTCTTAGCTGTACTTATTCTGACCTGTGGGAGAGAAAAAAGTGTTAGTTAAAAAAAAAATATATTTTAATTTAGTAATAAAATATAGCATTTTTAACTATAATAATAATAATGTCCTCCCGACCCCTTCGGCCATGGTGGCCAATCTTAATCAAATTAGCCAACTGCGCAGGAGATATTAAAAATGTGCGTACAGATACAAGTGCACTCTCTATTCCTGTCACTCTAATATTCCGGTGGGACGACATTCGAAACGAAACCAGTAAGGCGTAGGCACGGGGTGAAACAACTTCCCAATTCCAGGCTGTTACTGAAGCTAACTATGTTTAATATGCCTCAATAACTAAACTTGGCCCGATCCGGGACTCGAACCCAGTACCTTCAGATGTGCAGCCATACATACTAGCCACTACACCACCAAGGCAATTAAATATTTTTTATTATAACTCTTAATTTTTAACTATACTAATTAACAAAGGCTACCATATCTTTTGTGTTGACAACAGCCTAAAATAAGTTATACATATTTCTTAATTTTCATGATAAGTATATACCATTATTAATTTTTTTTAATTAATAATTTATTGAAAACATATACAGAAATAATTCTGTATATATTTTCAATAAATTATTATTATTATAGCATCTTTTACTGCACTATTATTAAATTTTTCTGTAATATAAAAAAAATGTAAAATTTTTACAATATCTTTTTAAAGGACCAGAATATATACAATTAATAACTAAGCAATTATAAATAAAACATTACCAGTATAAGTTAAACAACAATACTTTTCTCACCAAATGTATTTGAGTGAAGGTCTGTGGGTCTAGCACAATAACTTCACCATCTTCAGTACCAACAACCAAACTACTCATAGCATATTTCTCTACTGAACTCATCTTTATTGTTGTAATACATGCTATTTCTGAGTATCTTTTCTTCGGTAATTTAGCACTTTCTAAAAACTCCAGCTGCTGCTCCAATGTTAGAGCTAGAAATTCTCTTGACTGTATGCTCAATACTTTTTGTGTTATATTATGTAAGCTGTCTGTAAGAGTTAGGATTTTATCTTCAGAATGATTTGATGGATCTACCAGCTAGAACAATAAATAACTATTTAAATGACACTACTAGTATAAATCAAAGATTGTGAAAGAGTTTGCTTGTTACATCTTCACAATGTAATAGCTCAAATGATTTCAATTTTATGTTAAAATTGTAATTAAGATAGCTTATGTCCTGGTGATAACACAAGCCACTTTTTATTGAAAACAAAAAACAAACATATTTATAATGCAATGTATGCACATGCAGTGTCTATTTTAATAATTTTAATAGCCGTAAGTGCAAAATAATTTTTGACACCTTTTTGCACTCCATGCATTATATTGTGACTTTAATCATGAGAATGTTGTATACTAACATGTAGTATAAAGAGGAAAGATTTGTATTTTTTTATGTTTGTAATGAATAAACTCAAAATTACTGGACCAATTTAAATGAAATTTGGATAGAAGATAGTTTGAGACCCTAGGAAGGACATAAGATATTAATTATTCCGGAAATCATACCTCAAGGGGGTTAAAATGGTGATGAAATTTTGTATGGGGAATCAACCTAGAGACGAACCCGAGCAAAGCGAGGGTAAGTCGCTAGTATAGGATAAAATAAAATTACCTTTTTCCAAATCTCCATTTCATTTAAATTAAGCTCAATGCAAGGTAAGTAATATTTATAGAATAATTTCATATTCCTATAGATATAAATACAAGAACTAAATGCCACAGCTATTAGTGGTAAATTTCTAGGTGTTGAATCACTGGTGTATACACTGACCACACCTAGAGGTAGATCTGGTAAAGCAAGGTCAGATATTTGCATTGCTCCTTTAAAAACCTGTTAAAAATGAATGTTAATTAAAGAATTAATTTAATATTAAATTACATGCATATATTCTTATAAAAGAGTTCAAATAGTAAATCGTTAGAACATAATTTAAAAGAACAATAATTTAAACAAAATATACATGTGGACTGGCTAAGTAGTAAGTAGACTTTTTTCAAGCATTTGAAATGAACTATAGTCAACATAAAAATTATTTGGGATACCTTGAGCTTAGCACCGTCTCCGCCTTTTCCCAAATCGCCAATAATAAGTTTGAACTCATTATCGTTTTGTAAATCGCAAAGAACCAAATTTGATGGCAACGAATTTATATCTATATCATCTGTTCCAGCTTCAACGTCCAACCAACGACTCATTCCTCCCATGCTTATGTATTAGGTATAGAATTAATAAAATGTTGTTTAGCGCAGATATGTAATTTATCTAGTTAATTATTGCTGATAAGTGATATCACAATCATAGATGAAAAAATATTTTATTATTTGTTGTTATTTAGTTTCCATAGCAACCACAAACTTTAGGGAGATGTCGATGCTATTTTAATCTTTCGTTTAGTGGCTTCCAGCAATTGGGCACAAATTACATGTCAGATGCTTCATTCATGCTACGCTTAGACATGTAACAAGTGTTAAATGTCAATACTGTCAATATTTTTTTAATGGAGCTTGGAGGTTATGGCCTATGGATAAGGACTTAAAGAGGAGTCGTCTCTATATATGAAAAAGTGTCCGTCAAATATGCGTCCAATAAGGGTAGCGCTGCGATAGCGCAGGATAAATTTTAAAGCAAGCGCCAAAAGCAATTAGAATAAGATAGAGAAATAAACAAGGATGGTTATATTTACTAAATTAGAATAACTATACGTAAACAGTTGAGGTTTTATATACTGGTATTTCGTTAAATACTTTAGTCATGAAAAATATTAAATTTCTAAATTCAGCATACTTCACTCCGTCTACAACAGCTAAATTCAAATTAGCACAGCACAGCACCATTATGGCAGGTACAGCTAAAACCTCTATTTTAGCATACAGCTGGACATTTTTTAAAATCTCCTTCCCAAAGACGTTTTTTTTACCTCTACCCTCCTTTGGGTGAAATTATATATTATTTCTATCATAATTTTCACAGTACTCGTTTTACATCTAAATACAAGTTGAATAGTAGGTAGGTACTCCTCTCTCAGCTGGGGTTCCACAAGGTGGTGTCTTCTCACCTCTTCTGTTTTCTATATTTATTAATACAATTTCCACACTTCTTTCATGTCCCTATCATCTTTATGCTGACGACTTACAGGTTTACGCTGCGGGTCCCTCCAGTGAACTCAATAATACTATTGAACGGTTAAACAGTGACCTACACAAAATTTATTTCTGGAGTACGACGTATGGGCTCCGTGTTCATCCTATCAAGTCACAAGTCATTATTATTGGAAGTCAAAAGTTGACCAACAAGATCGACTTTAATACCTTGTCCCCTGTTAGATTCGGCAATTCCGACCTAGCATACAGTAACGCCGTCAGAATCCTTGGACTGTTTTTTGACAACTCCTTCTCCTGGAGTGTGCAAATTGCAGAGGTTAGTAAAAGGATGTTTGCTGAAATAAGTTGTTTGAGGCGATGGAAAAATCTGTTGCGGCACAAGTTTAGAATAGGGGACATTGCCCCTGGTGGAGTGGGTGGTATTTCTGGATAGGGGATGTGATAGGGCGTCGAAATGTTAATTAAAAATTTTTTCCGAAAACGTACGAGTAAAAAGTTATTGAGACTTAAAGTTACAACATTTCCATACATTTTCATATATTTCTTTCCACCATTCGGAGTGGGTGGTATTTTTAGGTAGGGAGGTGACAGAGAGTCAAAATATATTAAAAATATTTGGAGGAAACGTACGAGTAAAAAGTTATTGAGACTTAAAGTTATAACATATCTAACACATTTCCATACATTTCTTTACCTAAATAAGTGATTATAACAGATAAACATACCTTTAACGAATAGTACGCATCCTTTTTTATGTACAATACATATTTTCACAACAATTAATGCTTTATTGTATTTAATATTTTAATAATTTCACAACACAAACAAAATGATCTTACATTTTGACAAAAGCAAAACTGACACTTTGTTTTATATTACCGCTTAAATGACAACAGATTATATTCGATTATTTTTGCTTTTTCTGTTGGTAATATTAATAAATAAATAAAAAGAAAAATATTATTTTCACTTCATAAATACATTATTTATTTATTATTCGTCATATCTGGGTTAGGTTAGGTTAGAACAGTTGCCACAACGTCCCCCCCAACGTGCGTTCACCTTGTCGTGGTGGGGGGGCTCAGTAGTGCCCGGCAATCCAACCGGGCGCGAAGCTAAGAAACGCACAGGGAGGTTGCCCACTTCGGTGGGCGGTGGGAGGTGGCCCTCTTCGGGGGGCGGTTTACCATGCGGGTTACTCCTGGTACTTCTCTGATAGCAGAGTGGACTGTGGAGCAACCCCATGGTTGTGGTGGTCTGCTTTGGCAGACCTGCCGTCGGGGCGTCGTAGTTGAATGCGTAAGCGATCCTGCGACGCCCCATTAAGACGGGGGAAGGTTTTGTTGGGTTTTAGTGGGTAGTACTGGCTGTATTACGCCGGTGAGTCCCACACGTCGTGCGTAAATGCATTTCCCAACGTTAAAAAAAAAAAAAAAAAAGTTGCCACAACGCACGAGCCAAGCGAGCGAAGCGAGCGTGCCGCGGTAGCAGCCGGCGAGTGCCATAAATGACTAGAAAACTAGAAAATTCGAATTTCACGCAAGTACAAATAAAGACAATCATCTGGAGATCATTTTGATAATTGAGTGACGTTTTGATATTTCCAAGTGTCTAAATGGTAGTAATGTCAAAATAATGTATGGAAATGTTGTAACTTTAAGTCTCAATAACTTTTTACTCGTACGTTTTCGGAAAAAAATTTATTTAACATTTCGACTTCCTATCACGTGCCCTATCCAGAAATACCACCCACTCCGCCAGGGGTAATGTCCCCTATTCTAAGCTGCAGCCTCTGTTGCCTATTAAAACTAAAACTGCACTAGCTCACTCACTACTGCTACCAATTTTAGATTATGCTGATTGTTGCTACCTCGACGTTTCAGAGGAACAGCATAATAAGCTCGAACGTTTGCAGAATATGTACATCAGATTTATATTTGGTTTACGTAAATTCGACCACATCTCCGAATACCGTAAGCAATTAAAGTGGCTTCCAATCAGATTTAGGCGCAATTTGCACGTCCTTTCCATCCTTTTCTCCATCCTTTATAACCCAACTACTCCCTCTTACTTAAAGAAACGGTTTAATTTTCTAGGTTCGGACGTGTCTGGTTTGCAACTTAGGTTTCAGAGCGAGAACCGTTTGAAATTACCATCTTGCACCACCAATTACTATGGTAATTCTTTTACCGTAAAAGCTGTAAAGCTATGAAATATGCTCCCCCATGATGTTCGCCATTCAAAGTCACTAAATATTTTTAAACGTCGTCTAACTAATTATTATCTGTCTTGTTAGTTATTGAGTATATATGTATATACTATGTCCCGTCTTCGATTCTTCTAATCCTTTCACCAAAGGTTGTCTGTAAGAGATTGCTCGTAGCAATAAGACCGCCTTTGCATGCCTATTTGTTATTTATTTTTTATTTTTATCTTCTGTAATCTTTTTTTTTGTGTGGGCAATAAAGAATTTATCTATCTATCTACTTTTATTTGTCATCCATGGTAGGTACTGCTTTGGCGTGATACGTGCAACGGACTCAGTAGCAGAGAATAGGTCATATAGGTAGGTATATGTAGTGTTTTTTTCGCGTTGTTCGTTTTTGTCGCATTATGCTCTGTACTCTGTAGGTAATTGGAAAACAGGGCCGAGAGAGGGTTGCCCTTTTCAGTGTTTAAAATTGTCAAAATCTATTGTCAAATTGAATATGTCAATTGAATTTGACAATAATATTTTGACGTTTCTTGATGGTTGTTTTATGTTTGAGTTTGTTGACTGCTGTATGTTTTAGTGAACGTCCTCAAATACTTTGTGATGTTGTTTAATTGAGTTTACGTATGAAAATAAATAATATAAGTTGGATAACAAAGGAAGACAATTTACTTTTTAAATGATTTATCAAACTTTAATTCTTTTAACTAGTTTCCGTGCGCCGAAACTATGAAACGGCGAAAAATCTTTGAAAACGGTAAGTACCATGATTAATTCTTATTTTTATTTGTAATTAGTATCGCGATATCATGCAAAAGTCTTTAAACCTTACTTATATGAAGGCTGTCCATGTGTTATGAACATAATAATTAAGGACATTAAATCTTGTAACTAAACATAATTTTGTCTACATAATGTGCAACAAATCCTTTGTAAATTTGTAAAATTGAATTTGTTTATTAATAATTACTAAGTAATTTATTTTTACTGTTTATATGAAAACTAACATTTGTTTATTTTATCTAAGCTATTGCTTTTTCTGCAATTTGATATCCAAAAATATGAGAATTAATTTATATAAAGCAAAGCAAAACCTTGTTACTTTTTTGCTTTTTCATGTTTTACGGTACTGTTTTTTTTCATAAGAGTAGGCTGTCAAATTTTAAGGCTTTCGAGTGTAAAGGATTTTCTGATGACATACAATTGCATATGGATAGGTCTAAAGATAACTAACACTGTATAAGATAAAGATATAATAAGTAAATGATAATAATTAAATTTTAAGATAATTCAAAGCAGTCAATATGTTTAAAAATATTGGAGTACTCTGAGAAAATAATCTTTAATAAAGTAAGTAGGGTTTATAATGTAAATATTATTTTTTCTTAATTTCTATCTCATTTATTGTGTGCATGTCAGCGGTGCCAGGTGTGCCAGGTGTGATACAAGCAATACTTGTGAATATGAATAATAAATAATTTAAATTTGAGCATTTTTTTTTATTACAAACTAATTAATCAGTTTTTTTTTAATATTTAACCAACTAAAAAAATAAAGTAAAAAAATCTTTTATAATACTAAAAAATGGATACTTATAAATTTAGTAATAATCAGTATTCAATGTTAAATGTTCTTAGTTTGTCATTCTTTTACACGGTAAAATTTTAATCACATAATTTTTTAGATACTCTTTTTCTAAGTAGTAAGAGGAATTTATTGGCGAGATTTATAGAAAAAATTGACATTATGGATAATTATATTAATTTATATATGTATGTTATTTTTTACTCTTTAAATGTTTTATAATCTATCTAGACCCGACTAACAGTCAATAGTTTTTCTTAATTTTTAGATTTTCTAGTAAAATCTAAGATTTGCCAAATAAAATGTA